GGGAAAATTCTACAATTTTCCCGGCAGTTGATTACTAGCTTTCTATTTCGTAGAGGGAGAGAACATTTCTTTCGCCATTTCTTTTAATTCCCCGATACAGTGAAGGTGAAGAAAGGAGAAAAAGGAAAAATGAAAAGAAGATAAGTCGTGCCCTTCCAATAACGTTATATACCAGACAGGAGCAATTGTAAGAGAATATATTCGACGATATCTACATAAATAGATATATGTAATAGTGACTTTATTAGTCGGTTTATTAGTTACAAAGGTTACATCCCTAATGAATGGATCATATTTATCATATAGGAAAAGAATGACTAAAATTTCCTCCAAACAATGTCATATAAAATGTAACATCAAAATTTGAAAATAACTTTTGCTGCATCGATATAATAAAAAATTTGCATTATCATATGATGTAAGTTTAATGATTTGTATCAATGTTAAATCCGTGTGAATATTTAATCGTTAACTCTCGTGAAGCTTTGGCAAAATTTGAAAATGACAAATCTGTTGGCATATTCTGATTGTGTATATATATATATATATATATATTGCGCTACTATTAAAAAATATTTATTTTCACTAAAATTATAGATAAAAATAGAGTTGTGCCGTAGATTTCAAAATTATGTTTATGTAGATTGTTTATATATTGTCTATGTAATGTTTACACAGTTTTTTTTCATGTAGTCAATGCAAACTATGTAAAATATTTTAAATCATATTAAAATGTACAAGAAAAGAATAATAAAATTATGAGATACCTGGAATTTTAATTATAAATATTATTTAAAACAATAATAGATTGCAATTTTTATTTAATTATGTGACAGATGTGTAAATTTAATTCTAAAGAAAGAGGTAGGGTGGGAAAAAGAGAGATAAGAATGTCAAAATGTTGTTTAGAAAACAACATTCATAAATTTACACCAGAATTGTGAAGGTTAAATAAAAATGTAAACTTTTCTTTATTAATTTCTGACTATGTTTTTTTAAGCAATATCCATAGATTACACCTTGTCTACACGAATAACGTCTCATATATAATTTACGATTTATCTGCAAGACGTAGAGTTTACGCGTAAACGTCCAACTGTAGTTCAAAGTTGCCCAAGTCTGATAGATCCAAATTGTATCGTATATCCTATAAATAGGACTGTACAATAAAAGTTTATTTTCAACACAGCATATTTACTCTACAAATGTAATTTAAAAAATTGTAAAGTTCCCATCATCAATTGTCTCATGTCGTGATAATCATGAAAGCCTGAGTAAGTTAATGTTACGATTCCTCGACGTTATTTGCAAAAAAGCCGATAACTGCGGAAAAGTAAGGTACATTCCGCATGACCGAGACGCGGCGCTCTTGGCGCCTACTTCGCTAACGCGAGAAAGTTACACAAATAAAAGATACGAAGAGCGACTACTTTTTCCAAACCGCGTCTACCGCTGATTTCAACGTCGTTTCGTGTGCAATACCACCGTCGTTGTGATTTTTTTGCGATTAACACCGTAATTAGTGTGCGCACTACCGCGGGCTGCTAATTATCTAGCGAGCTCGTGCGCGGGAATTACGACATGATTTCTGTCTCTCAGAGATTCCGAAATAAATCGCGATATCTCTTTGTGCGTTGTATGTTCATGCAATCTTCTTACCCATATTCAGTCCAGTATTCTCGTCCCTCTCTCGGTCTCTGTTTCTCTCTCAAAGGACGCGCTGATTGCTAATGTCTGAATATTCGAGGCCACGGGCGGCCGGCAGCGATTCGTGAAAAACGATGGCGCGGCGCACTACCTAATGATACACACCGTTCCAATTGGATACGCGTATTTTTGTGGCGACATATTGCCAACGATTCATTAATTGCTGACCTTGTTAGCGTGGCATTGTGAAGCGATGGTCCCGCGGCGACGCTTGAGCGGTGCCCGCGGGAGTAACCGGGAGACAAAGAGGGTACAGACGAGTGACGGGGGGTCTGAGGAGAGAGGAGACTTGCTCGGCATTATCATGCATTCAGAGCCCCGCCATATAATAATGCCCGGCTCCTTTGTCGCTTATATTCGCCCCTGTTCTCCGCCACAGTTCTCCGCCACTCTACTCATAACCGCGCGAACATTGCCCTGTTGGCTCATATTTCTGTGATGGCACCTCGTTTACCTTCTTACGGTCACTCGATATCGAGAACCTTTACAAAATACACGCTGCCGCAACCGCCCTCATTCCGACCGCCTCTCGAACACCGCCGGTTATTAGGCCAATCGTGACGAATTTCTACTTAGCGAAATATGAGACGCTCATGAGAAACTCGATTTGTAAACAATGAAAAAAACTTGAGTCTCTTTCTCCCCCTTCTTCCCCCCCCCTCTCTCTCTCTCTCTCTCTCTCTCTCTCTCTCTCTCTCCTATCTCTTTCTCCCTTTCTCCTGTTTTTCTCTCTCAATATATCAAAAAGTCTTGAAAAATTTGAAATTTGCACAACCATTTACTGTCAAAATAATATCTTTTTAAAATAATATTAAAAAAGGCGTCAATCGTTTTCTCAGGTTCTGTCCCAAAAACTGTACTAAAAAATTTTGATGTTAATTCTTTTAATTATTCAAAAACATCAAATTTAAGATGACTTCAGATAAATAATAGGGGAAAAAGAACAATTATTTATTAAATTTCAAAATATTTTATTCAACCTGTATTTTCTGTACAAAAGTAATATTACGATATTACGCCAAATATGGCTATGACAAATTATTAATATTTTATTTTATAATTATTTTGTTATTATTATTACTTTAAACAAATAAAATTATAATTACAGTAAAATATAATGTTCTTTCCAAAATAAATAATATCAAAATTTAGGTTAAGTGTCAACAATTTCTACAGAAATACTAACATTAAAATGTTGCACCAGTTGAATTAATACAAGCGTTTATATTTTTTTATTACTGTTTATTATTATTATAATAATTTCATTTTCTTTTTATATTTAGCTTCTCATTATTATTATGAAGTCACTATCGTAATATATAATTTTTCTCTTTCCTGTTTTGTATGTTTTTTAGTTATTATTGTAAAATAGATATATACATATATATATATATATATATATATATATATATATATATAACGCATAGTTTTTTACTTTTAAATTATATCGAGATAGACTTTCATGATTATCACAAGATGACTGAGACTATGGATATTTTTTAAATCATATTTATGAAGCAAACATATATTTTCGAATTAATCAGTAAATGTACATCATACAATATTGTAATTTTATTTGTTATATTGATACAACAACAGATCTGTCAAAAGTTATATGATTTCCATATTACACAGATGATTATATTACATTATACATGACATATTGTTTAGAGCAAATAAATTTCGATAAATTTTTTTGCATATTTCTTTTTTATTTTGCTATTCTGTGTAATAAATATGAGTACAATATGAGTATCTCATAAGAAATTTAATCTTTACAAATCAACTAGTAAAGTTGCTGTCAAATTTACGCACACCCATCTACTTGTATCTACCTGTAATGTGTTTGTTCTTAAAGAGAGAGTTCTTACTCTAGAATGACCTTTCTCTTCTCCCCTTTTTTCTTTTTCTCCTTCTTCCTTTCCCTCTTTCTCTCTTTCTCTGAAGATTTACAGCTAATTAAATTTCAGGAGTGTAAATAGATAAACTTTGACGCAAAAAAGAAACACTTTACGCCACACGCAGACATGTTTTTCTCTTTTCGTCGTGCTCGCGCCTGGCGCGCTATTGTTCCAGTTCCGAGACATTTGGATCAGGACCGCATAAATTTTTGCCGCCTCCCTCTAATGATAACGGGATTACGAGATAACAGCTTTCTAATCCTATTTTCTTATCAGTTTCGGGGATCATCCGTGCCAGGTTAATCAATACCATGCGCGTTCTCGCGACGTCATAAAAACATCCCGCCCTGTTGTCCGAGGAATCGATGAACCCTTAATCCCAGCGCGTATGGGGGGCAAAGCACGATAAATTGGAGCCTCTCGTCTCGCAGCGAGTCTATTTTCTTCAAATGCGATCGTTCCTCCGTCACAGTAAACAATCGCTCCGATCAACGGCGGCAAACGATAGTTGTAAACATCCTGCCTATTACTGAGCCGCCGATTGCGCGCCGCTGCAGTTTGGAATATCTTTTTGCAATTTGTATCGTGGGACGTCGAAAAACGAAAGAAAAGAGCGCAGGGTGGAAGGAGATGGTGGAAGAGACGGCAGGTGAAGATGGTTACGAAGGTGAAGAAGGCGGTAGTGGGCCGCGTTAAGATGTTGGAGCGACGAGGGACAACTGGGCCAATCGATACCGCAGCCAGTGGTGGCTGGCGCGACAGAAAGAGCAAGAGAGAGAGAGAGAGAGAGAGAGAGAGAGAGAGAGAGAGAGAG